GGGGGGAGAGGGGCGGGGGGCTGGAGATGGTGGTGGAGATGGGTTGGAGGAGTTTGGGGACGCTTGGGGACAGGGGTTGGAGGAGCCTGGGGAGGTCTGGGGACAGGGGGACGGTTGGGGAGATGGGTTAGAAGACACTGGGGACACCTGGGGACACAGAGATGGTTGGGGACAGGGGTGGAGAGGGTTTGGGGACACCTGGGGACACGGGGACAGTTGGGGACATGGGTTGGAAGACCTCAGAGACAGCCGGGGACAAGAGTTGGGGAGGTTTGAGGGCAGTGGAGGAGAAGAGGATAATAGGGGACATTTAGGTGGTCTTGGGGCCACTTGGGGATGCAGGTTGGGAAGGTTTGGGGACAGCTGGGGACAAGAGGATGCTCGGGGACGTTTAGCAGCCCTTGGGGACACTTGGGGACAGGGGGGCCCCGGGGAAAATGGGTCTGGAGACACTTGGGGACATGGGGACACAGGGGACAGCAAGGGTGGGGGGTAGAGGGTCACAGGGGACAGAGGACATGGGGAGTCTGTGGGTCCCCACGAGTCATCAGCATCCCCAAATTCGTCCATGTGTCCCCATGGGTCCCCATGTCCATCGGTGCACCCTGGTGTGCCCCCAACGTCACCATGTCCATGCGCAGGAGAAGTTGTGTGGCCATCCATGTGTCTCCAGGTGTCCTCAGCGTCCCCAAAGGTGTCCATGTGTCCCCATGGGTCCTTGAGGTCCTTGTGCTGATCCAGAGGTCTCTGCAGGTCACTGTTCTCCTCAAGGACGTCGCCACTGTCCCCACATCCGTCTGCCTGTCCCCACAGGTCCTCAGCATCTCCGTGTCCCCACGAGTCCTTGGTGTCCCCGTCTCCGTGCACCTGCAGGGCCCCAGTGTCCCCAAAACCACCTGTGAGTCCGCAGGCTTTCCCAGTGTCCCCCCACAGGGCCCCAACCGGATGTCCCCAAGGGGTCCCCGATGTCCCCAACACCCGCATACAGAGTACTTTATGATCCTGATGTCCCCAACTAGGTCCTCAGTGTCCCTACAGGTCCTCAACGATTCTCCATGTCATCAACGCTCCCCACTGGCCTCAGTGTCCCTTCCACATTCTCAACGTCCCCATCCACACGTCCCTGACGCCCCACCACGTGTCCCCAGCAGCCCGTGTCACCATACCTGCAGGTGCTCATCATTGGCATGTCCCAGTGTGTCCTTGCCGTCCCCCGCTCTATCCTTCATGTTCCCCGGTGTGTCCCCAGCATGTCCCCGCAGGAGGGCGATAGCATCAGCAGCGTAGAGGGCGAAGGCCGGGGGTGGCTCGTAGGGGGACGTGGGGCCCCGGGCCACCGCCGAGAGCAGCAGGGCCACCGCTCCCCCTCCCCACAGCAACCCCCGCGCCGGGGACGATGGCCTGCACATGCCAAGGACACGTGTCATGCCAGCGTCCCAGCAAGAGGATGCCGAGGGTCATGCCAACACCACGCCAGTGCCAAGGGTCCTACCGACACCACCAGTCGTGCCAGTGTGACAAAAGACTCGAGTCACGCCAAGGATGTGCGGTGATGCCAACGTGACATCAATGCCATGGGCTGCACCAGCGTGACGCCAACACCATGGGTCTTGGCAACCATGTGGGTCATGGCAACGTGACACCAATGCTGTAGGTGACGCCAACAGGACGCCAACATCATGGGTCATGCCAATGCCGTGGGTCATGGCAACGTGGTGCCAACATCATGGGTCACACCATCATGATGCCAACGATGTCACGCCAACACGTGACACTATAGGGTCTAGGGCCACCCCTCCACCCCGGGGGACATTGGGATGCACATGACACACCAATGACATGAGGAGTGGCGCACCGAGGGAACATACAGGAAAACTATAGGCAGATCTATAGGGGAACTATAGGGCTACAGCTAGGACATCCATATGAGACCTGTGGGGCTGCCTACAAGTCATCCATAGGGGACTAACAGGTCTGCTTATGGGGCAGCTATAGGGAACCTACAGGGCCACCTGTAGGCCCTGTAGGTGACCTACAGGGCACTGGGGATGTACAGAAGATTGACAGGGGCTCTGTGGGGCCAGCGACAGGAGATCTATGGGGTACGTATTGCACTACGTGGTGCCTAGAGGCAACCTATAGAATGCCTATAGGGTTTGTTGCCGGTAATCTATAGGAAACGTTTATGAAACCGGCTATAGTAAATCTACAGGGCCCCCTATGGATGCGCTGCCTTGGCTAAAGAAATCTATACTTGGCCCCGATATGGGACGCACTGGCTGTTTCCGGGACCCCATAAGGATCCTGTGGGGCTCTACAGAGGCTCTATAAGCACTGGAGAGAAGCGAACAAGCACAGAACTGCCCACGTAGGTTATGGGGGCTATAGGGGCTCTACAGGGGACACACGAGGCTCTACAGACGATGTATTGGGCTCTATAGAGGACTTATGGGCCCGCGTGGAGGGGAACGCATGAGGGACCTCCCGGGTGCGCTATGGGGCTGGTTCTGAGGGGCTATAGGGACACTGTCGAGTTTGTAAAGGGGACGTATAGAGCTCTATAGGCAACACAGAGGGTCAGCTGCAGGGGAAGAGGTGAGGGATGACCCTTCCAGGCGAGATATGGGCCAGTTTGGGGGAGGGGGGGCCGCCTATGGGGCTAACGGGCTCTATAGGGTCTCTACAGGGTCTCTATAGGGTCAGTACCTGGTCAGCAGGGGCAGGGCGGTGGCGCAGGCCAGGCGGGCTGGGGGGGTCCCGCAGCGCAGCATGTGGGTCAGCAGCCCCACGCCGAAGGGGGCCGCTGCCGCCGCCCCCAGGTTGCGCAGGAGTCCCTCACCTGGGGGGGATGACACGGGGACGTATAGCGGGGGAGGCAGGGCAGGGCCATAGGATCCAACTATGGACCCCTACCTCCCCCCTCCCCCACCCCCTGGAGAGACCCAAACCAGCACCCAGGACCCCCAGTAGCCCTCCAGAGACCCCAAGGATGCCTGAAGACCCCCCCCCCCCCCAGGGACAACTGGGGACCCCTAAAAGCCACCGGGGATTTCCCTAAAGACCACTCAGGACCCTCCCCCATGGCCCCCCAAAAGGCCACTCAGACCCCCCTGGGGACCTCCAATAGCCCCCCAGGGACACCCAAAGACTGCCCAGGACCCCTCAAAACCTACCAAGAACCCCCACAAATGCCCAATACTCCCCCCCAGGGACTTCTTGGGGACCCCCCAATAGCCTGGCTGGGGACACCTCGGAGACCCCCAAAGGCCCCCCAGGGACCCTCCGCAAAGGCCAACAAAACCCCCCAGCGCCCCCCAATAGTCACCCAGGGACCCTCAAATACCAACGAGGACCCTCCAAGGGCCCCCCAGGAAACCCTGGGGACCTCACACAGCCCCCAAAGGCCCACCTAGGGACTCCTGGGGACCCTTCAAGGGCCACCCATGACTCTCGGGGACCCCAATTAACCCCTTGAAGCCCCCTAAACTCACCCAATTCTTTGAGGCGTGCCTGGCGGGGGTGCAGGGGAGCCGTCGGATGCTGGGGGGGTCCCCCAGGCCGTGAGAGCTCTTCGGCCTGGGAGGGGGTGAGGCCAAGGACCAGCCAGGAGCGGAGCAGGGAGGGGATGTAAGCCCGCACCAGGGCCCCCAAAAAAGCGGGGTGCCCCGTCAGGCGCTGCAGCACCCGGGCAGCCCGGGGGGCCGGGGCAGGAACCCC